AAAAAAAAGCTTTCACTCAACAGTCAATGTTTTGTATTAACCAGATTCATAAGTAATGAATGGTAGTGCATTGATAAGGAAAATACCTCTGAGATTATATTTATTTTTGAGCAGCATGTGGTGATCTTTGTGAATTTTATACATTTAAATCATGAGAAATCAAACTTACCTGTACTCTGGTTGTAGTTGAAGAGTCTTTGACCTCATGGATTTTCATCCTCTGGCTCTCAGTAGAAAATTTGCCATTCAGCAGTTTGAGGAAGGACATGTCCTCGTTTATGGTTTGAGATGTAGAACTTTTCTGCTCCAGCCAGGAGCTGATTATCTCCGAGTTGGTCTCCACACCCGTCTCCTTCTGGGGGATGACAAATATTTCATCTGGGATGAGGTAGAGCCCGTCTTCAGTGGTCTGGCACTGGAAGTAGCTGAGGTTCATGACTCGACCCATATCCATGTTGCGTAGATTGTCCCAGCCTCCACCTGGCAGCACCTCCAGTGCTGTGATGGAGAGGTTGGTGGAGGCACGACATTGTCTGAGCCAGTTGGTTGGGCGGCTGATGGGGACAGGAGAGCAGACGTGGAGGAGAGACAGAGCCAGGAGGATCACTGCTGTCTTCATGATGTCTGTCAGAAATGGGGGCTGTACCCGCTGAAAACCAGGCTTCAAACAAAGTGCCTCCCCCTTTTATGTACTTTATCACACAACCATCTAGAAAGTCTTGTTAAACCAGTGTCAGGGATGGGTGAGGTCTTGCTTTCATTTACGTTAAGTTTGTATATATTTTTGTTTACTTCAAAGCACATACGTGTGTGTACAGTTTTCATAAAAATGTCAGATGAAAATGTTAATAGACCGTAATTTGCTACATTTGGATTATCTGTCCTGTGGTTTAACAGAATACTGCCCCTAATGCGAATTTACGCTGGAATGAGGGTTTTAATAACAAGCAGGCTTGAATGTAAAGCCAACAGAATGAGTAAAAACAGTGCAGATTTAATAACAGTCTGATTTGAACACAAAAATCTTTTGTATCACACAAAAATACGTATCTTAACAGTTGTAATCATATTTTTGGAAGCATTAAATCCTAAGGTTCAAGCCAAGTTCCTCCCCCTTTTGTTCCTCCTAGAAAGTCTTATTAAACTGGTGTCAGGGGGCAGGTGAGGTCTTGCTTTCATTTTCAAGTTTGTATATATTTTTGTTTACCCCAGAGTATATATGTATATGTCAGATATAAATGTTAATAGAACCTAATTTGCTGCATTTGGATTATTTGTCTAGAGGTTTAACCAGAATACTGTCCCTAATGAAAAGTTTAGGCTGGAATGAGCGTTTTAATAACAAGCACCCCCAGGCTTGAATGTAAAGCCAAGAGAATGAGTAAAACCAGTACAGATTTAATAACAGTGTGACTTGAAAGTGTATTTAAGAGTATTCTATCACACAGAAATCTTCACAGTTGTAATCATATTTTTAGAAGTGAAATCTTAACCAACACTCTGCTACCTTGTTTAAAACAAATGAAAGAGAAAGCTGTGTATTTTCAAGTTCATGTAACCTTTTCACACGAGTGTGAGTCACTGGGTAGGTCCAGAGAATGTCAGTCACAACCGTCATTTTCATTATGATCAAATTAAAATACTGTGGATAAATAGTAACATATGTACATTAGATTTAAGAGATTATACAGTTACACAGAAATTAGGTGCAGGTAAACAACCAGGCCCACCAAAACAGTGCTCCACCCATTGATGGAGGCATCAAAGGACACAACTACACGAAAGACACCCTTTGTCACATTCCATGCAAGAGTTCACCTGCAAGGCAAACAAGGCTGATGGTAACCTTGTTGCAAAAGAAAGAACAGTCACACTACCACCTGTTCTCACTATCACAGCCCAATGATCCAGATAGGCTGAAATCTGAATTCCTCACCATTTGATAGCACCAAAGCACTGTCAGTTGTCACCAATCCCCTGGGCCAGCTGCATTTAGTAATAACAGGCATAATGAATTTAGTAGATATTTAACACATACAGATCTCAGAAAAAAAACAGCTGTACAGCTCCCATTAGTTGAAGATAGATGGAGGACCCACCTGCGTAACTGTCTTTTGTAACATTTTTGGAGCCGATGATGAAACACACAACTTGAGCTCAGCCAATACTCTGCTGGCATAGACAGTACCCAGGCAGGATTCAGATTTTCTTTTTGATTATACTGTTAAGTCACCCTTGGTAAACACTGTATTAGCTGTATAATCTGAGCAGCTTGCCTCTTACCTTTTTGTTACTTTATCTTATGTTTTTGATCCCGTGTGTGTGTGTTTGTTGGTTAGCAGGATTACAGACAAATAGCTGGGTGGATCATCAGCATACTTGGTACTAACATTGATGGGGACCAGCCCTAGAAGTGATTAGATTTTGGCTGAAAAAGGTCAAAAGTCAAGGGCATGAAAAAATAATGAAAATCACAAAAAAAAAATTATTTTTAGCATTGGTTGAAATAAAAAAAAAATCATATCTCCATCAAAAGTTAGCAAAATAATTTTAACTTTAACACGTTGTTCAAGGTTAAATGATTTTATTGTCAATTCACCATATGGACAGAAAATACAGAAAATCGAAATACCGTTTCTCTCTCACCTAGTATTGGGTGCCATAACATTTAGGAACTAAAATAGAATAAAGCAGAATAAAAGTAGAATAGAATAAGAACTGGATTGACATAATTAGGAGAAATCTAAACAGTACAGCCAATAAGCTGTGACTCAAAACCGTTTACAGTACAGTAGTGCAAAACAATAATAGGAGATTGTCAGGTGGTTCAGCATCACCAGGGCGTTGGTGATGAGGTGCAAATAGCATATGATGTATACATGGACAGTATTGCAAATGACCAATATTAGCAGATATCCAGGCAAAAAAAACCCCAGTCAGCAGCAGATTCACATTTTTTTAGATGGAGCATTTTTACACAAACTATCTGCCTGGCACTGTGGACATAGAGGTAGCTGCCACTTCTGTGTTTTATTTTCAATAGAGGAAGAATCAGGTTTGGTTTCAGCTTTTCATTGTATTGCTTTTGTTGATTTGGCTCCGCCCACAGCCCTTTGCTTTCATTTGCTAGTAGCGCTTCTCTAAATTGTCATTTTGTTTTTATCTAAGTTTGTTGAACTAATAATTTTCTATATAATAAATTGCATTAACCGTCTTAGGTGTTAACTCACTCAGGTGTTTTGTTGCTTCCCTTATGCCCTTATATTCTCACACCCACACTCAGAAAACTTCAGAAACAGGCCACTGGGTCTCTCCCTGACATCAACTGTGCATTAAATAATGAATCGGTATTTTCGGTAGATTATCATTATTGATGGAAAATTTCTGTCGTTAGAATAGTTTTCTCCTTTTGGTGTGTGCACAATGAAAGCCAATAAAAAGTCAAAACAACATTCTGTATATTAAAATGTTTTTCTTTTTAAATTGGTGTATCAAATGATACACAAACAAGCCTAGTGATTTCCTCATCTGGTATATACATATACAGTATTTAACAGAGTAAGATATTTGCAAATGCAAACTTTTTGCCCTATTATTGCCTGTGCCAGATTGCTTTTTCAGTGTAATGAATAGATCAGCTAAGTCTTTAATTAAAACAAATTACGGTGACATTGGTGATATTATTAACTAACTCTTTAAAAACACAACTTACAGTTTAGCCTACACTTCCATATGGAATATAAATGGGGAGTTTTTTTTTCTCGTTATTTAAGGTTAATATATAGCATCACATAATTACTAAATTACAAATTATCTTAGAAATTTGTAACATTCACACTTATCTCTGATCATTTACCATTTATCTTAAAATCACTGTATAAATTTACAAGATTTCCCACACAAATCATAGAGGAGAACACACAGTTTGTAACATTTGTTGAAAAATTATTGGCTGTTTATCATCTTTCAAGTCACTGCAATTTTAGCTATTGGTCTAAAAATATTTAATTGCCAATAGAAATAAAAGTACAAAGATAACTCAAATATAATAGATGCTTTTTTTTAATATTCGAAAAATACATTTAACTGCTCTGTTAAATGTTCTAAATGCGCTGCTGCTCGTCTTTTAACACGTACTAGGAAATTTGACGATATAACCCCGGTACTGGCCTCTCTTCACTGGCTTCCAATCCGTTTTAGAATTCATTTTAAGCTATTGATTTTTGTTTTTAAGGCTCTTAATGGTTTGGCACCGCCCTACCTCGCTGAGTTGGTGAGGTGGCACGAACCGACTAGATTACTCAGATCCTCGAGGCAGTTTCTTTTAGAGGTTCCCAGGGCCAGATACAAACGCTGGGGTGACCATGCTTTTATTGTTGCAGCTCCTAAATTATGGAATGGTTTACCTCTTAATGTTAGATCATCTACAGACTTGACAACTTTTAAATCATTGGTTAAAACATATTTATTCACTTTGGCTTTTAATACATAGTGTTGTCTAATGCTTTCTTCTTATAACTGTTGATTTTGTGTAGGTCGTGTTTTTATGTTCTTATGTTTTTATTTCTCTATTGATATTATTTCTGGTTTTTACATTGCCTTTGTACAGCACTTTGGTTGACCTGACGTTGCTTTTAAAGTGCTATATAAATAAATTTTGATTGATTGATTGATAGTGAATAATAATTGCCTGTATTTTACAACATGTTATTTATTATGCTACTGCTTTGTTTATAAAATTTTAGTGCCAGCTTTTTTCAGTTAATTCCAGGTTTATTTTTAGTACAATGATTAGATGAACTTTGCTAGTTGGTCATTTACTAGGAACAATTCTCTTTTTTCTTATAAAGTATTTCACTACAAATTGGAGCTTCTGTATGTTACATTTTCGTATGGGAAACGCCGGGTTGAATTTGGGTTGCATATGAGGAGAACAACATTTTATAAAAATGCCTCTGTGATTGTCATCCAGTAAAAGCTGACCTGAGGTGACCCTCACAGCCAGTAGTCCTTCACTACTGAGGCTGCCCCTAGTGAATCATGTGCTACTGAATAGGGCCAGTACGTGCCAACAGGAAACCATACAGCACATTAACTCGACAGCGGTGTACGTCTAGGTTGTATAGGCCTAGCCTACTGATCGTTTGTTCTTCATCCTTTTAACTCATATCTCTAACTGATGTGACTCTACTAACTGATACATTAGTTGTGTTTATATACTTTTTCTCATGTCAGAACTCTCAGACCAAGTATTTTTTCATGTGTTTTCTATATCATGCTGGATAAACATGGTATGCATACATTTACCAACTGGAATCACTTCACCCGCACTGAAACCACGTCATAGTTTTTTCCGCTATAAAAGGAACAACCAGGGAACACAGCTGGTTACACCCGACAAACCTCACTGCTGTCAGTGATGATTAACTGCTTTTTTGGCAAACACCGGGCAAGTGGGACCATCTGCTGTTTTATGACTAGTGTTCTACCAATATCGATCTTCTGTTGACATTGGCGCAAACATACAGAATTTAAAACAACCCGGGTTACTTTATGTCAAATCAGTTTTTGACATATAATTGTAACTTGTACAACTACAGAATGACAATGTCCCTTTTCAAGGGCAGACGCATACACCTTT